TGTTACATATTAAGCTGTGTGATACATTTGAATGGGATATAGTCTTGAAGGCACTCCACAATTATAAATCTCACTCAAGCAGAGATCTCTTGTGGTCTGGAGGAAGTCAGTATAGCTGAGAATTAATTTTGATATAAACAAGAGGCAGAAAAATTTTGGGCAGCTCGGGGTTTGCACCCAAATGCTATTTGCTCCTGGGGGGATGAAGGCAACAGTGAGGGGGCAAACTTTATGTGATAATGCATACAGATAGTCCTTGACTTACAACAGTTCATTTAGTGACCTTTGGAGTTACAACAGCACTGAAAAAAGTGATTTATGACCATCTTTCACACTTACTGTTGCAGCCTCCCCATGGTCATGTTATCAAAATTGCTTGGCAACTGATTCATATTTATGATGGTTGCAACATCCCAGATTCATATGATAACCTTTTGTGACCTTCTGACAAGCAAAGTCAATGGGAAAGTCAGATTCACTTAACAACCATGTTACTAACTTAACAACTGTGGTGATTCACTTAACAACTGTGGCAAGAAAGGTCATAAAAATGAGGCAAAATTCATTTAACATCTTCTCACTTACCAACAGAGGACTACCTGTATTGATGGGACTAGGATTTTTTGGATACTTTTTCTCAAAGGGGGAAGAGGAAGTTTCAGAAGATATTAGCTTTAGAATCTTTGCTTACTGTGTGATCCAAAGAGGCTGTGATTGTAGATATAAGTACATATTTGGATACTAAAAACATATTCAGGGGCCTGTTTAGTCTAGAATTAAGGCACCAGGCTAGATACTGGAAGACCCTGGATTCTAGTCTTGCCTTAGGCGTGAAAGCCAGCTTGGAAGCTATGGGCCAGTCCCCCTCTCTCAACCCAACCCACATCACAGAGCTGTAGGTATAGGAAAAATAGGTGGAAGGAGGAGTATTAGATAATTTACCATATAATTATATGAGTATCAACAGTACCTACCTACCCACCTATCTATCTATCTGTCTGTCTGTCTATCTATCTATCTATCTATCTATCTATCTATATCTATCTATCTATCTATCTATCTATCTATCTATCTATCTATCTATCTATTTATTAATTCAATTTATATCCCGCCATTCTCCTTACCGGACTCAGGGCGGCTAACAGCCTTATAAAACAATGCAACAATAAATACCTAATTTAAAACCAAATTAAAAAGAAATATTTGTTATGGCCTATATAATTAAAATTTCTCTTAAAAAACCCCACTAAAATTCCCTAGGCCAATCCCGCTTGTTGGAAGAGCCATGTCTTTAGGGCGCGGCGGAAGGAGGGNGGGAGATCCGGGATCACCCGGATCTCTGGGGGTAGTTCGTTCCAGAGGGTGGGGGCTCCCACCGAGAAGGCCCTCCCCCTGGAGGTCGCCAGCCGGCACTGTCTGGCTGACGGCACCCTGAGGAGACCCACTCTGTGGGAGCGTACCGGCCGATGGGAGGTAATCTGCGGCAGAAGGCAGTCTCGGAGATATCCAGGTCTATCTATCTATCTATCTATCTATCTATCTATCTATCTATCTATCTATCATCTATCTATCTATCTATCTATCTATCTATCTATCTATCTATCTATCTATCTATCTATCTATCTGTAGTGTTACCCCCTCAAAGGCCGCCAAAGCACAGGCCCTCCTAATCCTCCCCCTTTAATCCTGCTCAACAGCTGCGCTTTCAAGGCGTTGACAGAATGCCCAGTTTCAGTGGGAGGGAGTGAAGAGATAGCAAGTTCTCATTGTCGGGGGGGTTGCAGGAACGAAGGTGACAGACCCTAACCACGGTGGTCAGTGCATAACAATATTTAACAGCCTCAGGCAGTTGTAGCAATAATAGTCCATAGTCCATAGCAGTCTTATTAGAAACAAGAGGGGTGTGTGGAAAGAACTCCCCAGCTTCAAGCAGTAGCAGAAACCACGAGCAGAGATAATCAACACCCCGCAGTCGCAGCTCATTCTGCCAGGGCAACTCCCCACAATGTTTATACCATGCACAGGTGGTAGTGATCAACGTTTGGATGGCTGCTGGTCTCCGAAGTGGTAGTGGCTCGCCTCTTCTTCTCTTCTGTTGGGACCCGTCATCCCAGGTCTCTCTCTATGCCAAATCCCCCCCCCTTTCCTTTCTAGTTAAAATCTGGTTCAGCACCCAAGGCAATTTCCTCACTCTTACTCTCTCTCTTCCCCTTGCTCGGGATATCCGCTTGCAAAAGAAGATAAGATGATAAGATAACCTTTATTGTCATTTTTATACTGTGGGCACGATGGCACACATCAAAAATGAAATTTAGTTGCCCGCTCTCAAAGTGAAACACATACATGACACACACCTAAACATACTATGAACAACATATGTGTAGACCCACATCCCTACATATATGTAGCAAATAAATATTAAATATTGTCCATCTTGAATATATAACGGAAGGAGCAATAACCCCCCCCCTCTCCTTTCCTTCCCATTACTCCAAAAAAGAGGAATCACCTAAAACTCTTCGGCTTCAGTTGGTTTCTCCCCAACAGCAACAACAACCAACCTCCACCTCTTTCTCCTTCTCCTTTTCTTCCCTTCCCCCAGTCTACACCCACCGTGCCCAAATTGGCAGTAGCTGTCCGAGCTTTCCACTCTCCTCTCGCCGGCCAGGCTCCCACAAAGCTTTTCGGTCAGCCCGCTACATATCCAATGTGACACCTGACCTATTTCTGACGTAGAATTATTAGGAATGAGTCAATCATTGAACCAGAGTAAATACTGGGATGTAGATGTTCTACAACAACTTGAAGAAAATAGTCTGTCTGCATTTATACATTGTGTTAGGATGTAAAATATTTCATTTCATTTAACATAATGTAAACCATGTCACTATAGTTTGGTGATCATTATTTATAGCTTAAAGAAATGCCTGAATCAGGCTTCTGACTTGAAACCATGGTTAAAAACTGGCTTGTAAGTTGCAATCTAGAAATGAGTTGGAGCTAGATTTAGTTACAATTTTAAAGCTGACTAACTTATACAATGGGAATTATTTCACAGCATTGTTTATAAATGCAGCAAAACCTACTTTCTGGCTGATGTAAGAATATACAGGCCTGATTTACCCTAAGGCAACATGAAGCAATCACTTCAAATAAATTACTAACAATGCAATTTTCATGCCTCCCACTCATAAAATCATGGAGGATGGATATTCTGCCATGTTGGCTTCCTACTACTAATTATATTTAATCAACCTTAACTTCAGAGATCAGAACTGACAAGAGAAGAAACAAACATAGTCCTTCAAACTATCCTATTTCCAGCTTCGCAACCCGTCAAGATTCTGCTTGAAATTACACAATCAAGAAATAAAAATATGCTGTTCAACTACACCTCTATTATAGAAAAAGCTTTTCATGTTAGGTTAAGCTTGGTTTCTTTTTCCTTGTGAATTGATTGGAATCCCAATTTTGGTGGCAGAATTGTCTTGGGGAAGCCATCAAACAGGGAGGAGTTCAATAGGTGTAGTTTCATAAACTGGGCTTTCTACATTTTTGCCCACTGCATTACTAATCAGAATGCAGGAAGGAGGTTTCCATTGTTCAGCTACTGCAACTTTTTCTTTTACTCTTCTGGTAAAGAGTTGATCTTCTAGATGAAATCAACATGCTGGTCACAGGTGGCCTGGATTAGACTTCTCTGTCACAGCACATCAGGAAATGTATCTGTCTGTCATTTGGAGACAGTTGCACAGCTGTTTCAGTTATATGTCTGCGAATGTTAACACTCTGGCGAGGCTGGGGATATTCAAACAGCATAACAGAGAGGAGAAAGTTGGGTGAACCAATCTGTGCAGGATGCGCACTTCTGCACAACGTAGTTGGGATTTGGAAGGTCTTTGCATTGGCTCATCTATGCTTACCCATCAACCTCTTTGCAACATAGGTTTGAAGTGAAGCCTACACTGCAAAGAAGTTGTACATTGCAAATGGCCAACACAAACATCTCCCAAATCCAATTGTGCATTGTGCTGAGGTGAGCGTCTTGAGTGCTGATTGGTTAATCCAAGTTCTTGTCCTATGCTGTTTGAGCGCCCCCTAGCGAGAACATTAACATTCACAGACGTTATAAGAAACAGCTATGCAACCGTCTCCGAACGAGAGACGCATACGTTCGCTGACGGGCAATGACGGAGAAGTCTAATCTGAGCTTTAGGCTGCTTTCAAAGAGCAGAGCGTGGGTTGATTGTCAAGCACCAACAGAACGGAGGGCGGAGAGAGCGGCTCGCGGCTTTGCAGCTCAGAATGGAACAATAGAGGCAGGGGCGAGACCCTGAGCCGCTGATACAAAACAAAGAGCGGCTGGAGACACGTCCACGCCCCGCTCTCCACCCACTCTCCGTCGTCCCTCCCTCTCGTCTCTTCAGTTTTGCTCTAACCTGCTGAAAGGGAAGGGAAGAGAGCAGCCGGCCGGGAGCCCCACCGGCATCAAACGAGCCTTTCGATGCCCAAGCACCCGCGCCATTCTTCGACAATTTCTCCAACCCACCGGGGATCAGAGAAGAGAGACCTTGGCACAGATACGCTTTCGATCTTCACCTTCCTTTCTTTTTTCTAATTCCTCTGCTAGAAATTTGGTTTTGGTTGCCAGAACAGCGGACGTCGGAGGACAGGCGGACAAAAGGCTTTTGTCAACAGGCGGCGGCAGCGGCATCCAAGAAAGTTAAGCGGAACGCCGAGGCGGATGGAGAGTTTCTCTGGAAAAGTAGGGCGCCGCTTCTGCCGTCCTCGTCCTGCGATTTCGGCCAAGGGATGGCCCTGCTCGCCCTAACATGCAGCTGCGCTGCCGTTCCGGCTCCATTGCTTCCTACCTGCGTCTCGGTGGGGCTGATAGTTCATCCTCCTGCCGCCTCCGCCGTGGTCTCTGCAGGGTTGGCGACTCCGCGACGAGCTTCTGCGCCGAGACCATGTTCGACCTCCGAGGGGAACAAAACTGCATTATGTGGATCTCACTCCTGGCTTTTCTAACGGTCGGGCTCGTCTCGCTGCACAAATGCCAGCGGCATCCCGGCCCGGTCCTGGGAATGAGTCGTATGCTCGCGGTGATTGTGCCAGGCTCGGGGCAGCGCCGTAAGTTTGTCCTTCCCAACCTGAATCGCATCATGTTTCCTCCCCCTTCTTCCCTCTCTTCTGTCTGTCTGTCCACACGTAATCCTTGAGATGCACCTGGCTGGCTACTTGCAGTTGTATCCGCATCAGCCTCGTTATAACATAGTGGAACTTGATCCAAACACGCATTAGATCGAGCTTTAGTTAAATTGAACCTGATTTTGAGTTTGCTTTGAGTGTAGCTCTAATGTAAAGTTACAGTTATATGAATTGATGCAAGCATTGTCTCTTTTATACACTTCTAAATATAATGAGGAAGGCAGGAGTGACTGATCTAAAGTAAGCTGAATTTAGAAGAGACACAAGCTTTGAGTATATTCTTTGGAAAGTAATCCTAAATAATGCTGAGTGTTTTGAATTTGGGGGTCCTAATAGTTGCTTATCCTGACTTTGGAGACATTGGCAGTGGTTTCAGGGTTTTTTTTTTTGGTTTTTTTTTGCCAGATGGGTTGAATGAGTTGAATAGGATCTCCTGCTTGAGCAGGAGGTTGGACTAGAAAATGCCAAGGTCTCTTCCAACTCTGATGTTCTAAGTTCAAGGCATCTTTCAAATGTATATAAAATCTGTTATCAGGATTTAAGGCACAACCTTACACATGGTCAGAAACATTGGTTCAGCTAGTTCAGTACTAGATGGTTGTGTACTGTTAGCAGTTTGGCAGATTTCAGAAGGCCAGCCTTTCTCAGTCCTGCTTACAGATACAAACAACTGAAATTTAGACTTCTGGAAAATAAACAGTCTGATGAGTTTAACTATTTGCAGTTCATGTTCATGTTTTCCTTCAAATATAAATTTTTTATTGTTTTCAACATAAAAAAAACAACACATCACAGATACATCACAATTGAAAAAACCCCTACCCCCCACCCCCCACCCGGACTTCCCAAACCTAATCCCAGGATACTATTCAACTAAAAGTAAACTAATATTAATATCCCTAACTCCACAAAGTGTTATTCTACATAAGTAGGTGAAATATATATATATATATATAAAAAAATTTTTTATCTAAAAACCTAACTTATATTCCACCATTCTTTGCTTATTTTGAATATAAACAATCCATCTTCTCCATATTGATAAAAATTGTTCATTTGAATGATCCTTCAAATAAGCCGAAATCTTTGCCATTTCAGCAAGATGCGAAACCTTCAATCTCCAGTCCTCCATTGTAGGTAAAACTTTACTCTTCCAGTTTTGAGCTATCAACAAACGGGCAGCAGTTAAACAATACAACA